CTCCTGGGAGGCACAGTGAGGAATAGAATTCCCAGACACTGGCTCTGCAGGCAAATACCTAACTCACTGCTTCATATTCAAGAAGGCTTCATGTTCTTCACCTTTCAGCTAAAGGAAGAAACAGGGATTTATCGTGTGGTAAAAGAGATTTGAACAAGTTTATAGTTCCTGCAGAAGAGTACAAGAGCTTCCTCCTATACCACAGCATGGCTCTTCTGGCACCCCAAAGTCATCCCTTTCGGGAAGAAATAATAATAATAAGAAAATAGGGTTTGCTGTATCAAAATATGTCTTTTGGTAGAAAATGGGAAGGGCAGAGTTTGAATTTTGGTTAAAAACCTCTAGCTACACAGAAAGTGCAGGGACCTACAGAATTAGCTTCAAGCCTCCACAGAGTACACCCCACTTTCTGTTGTTTAATCAACTGAAACGTACTGTCTCAATAATCAACTGAAACGTACTGTCTCAATAACTCACTCTGACATGTTGGTAAGAGAAAGAATAAAAGGTTCCATTTACTCACAGAACAAAACAAAACTGAACAGAACAAAAATAGTATACTGTATAAAATGACTACTTACATGAGCAGACCTTAACTGACTAATAACTGCATGACTAACAACATAACTTCCAGCAGACTACCACATAACTAAATTACTTTTTTTTAAAAAAGGAGGGGAACACACTCTTAAGCAAAAAGATATGGCTGTCTTCAAAATCACAGGTGCAGAAGGAACAAGTGGTTCCTGACGGACTGATTGACAGTCACCTCAGCCCAGAAAGGTCCCTCCGAGGCAAAACTTTTAAGGCAACATACAAAGATTGCTAAAATTTCAACAAGCATAACAAATGCCACCAAGTGCATGCAGCCTAAAATGCAGCCTCTGCTGTTGGGGCTTGAAACAAACCAGATGCAGAAAAGCATGCACCTAAAATGCAGCCTCTGCTATTGGGGCTTGAAACAAACCAGATGCAGAAAAAGACACTGCATTAAATTTATTTACAGTTATTTGCTTTTGAGGTTGTTCCTCAAAGGGTCAGCCCTGTTCAGCCTGAGGAATGTTCCCTGGCAATCAAGGAGAGCTGCTGATTTAAGTAGATTTCTTTCTTTAGCAATAGAAATAGATTCAGTAGCAGCTGTGATAGAGATCCAAGGAAGCTGGTTAAGGCCCATATGAGATCCAAAAAGAAGATGAGCAGAAGCTGAACCAGGATGGCAATCTGTTAGGACAAATGCTGGGAATGAAATACCAGACTTGGAATCAGTCATCGGACATTCTTTGGCTTGTTAACTGGAAAGAGAGAGAAAAATAAGTTACATGTTTGGCTGGCACTGAGAAGGAACAATGAGGCCAGAGACCCATAACACTCAAAATAAATGGGGGTGACTGGCACTATGCTGAACACTTCTTCCATGTATTTGTAGGTTACCATTCTCACTTCATTTGATAGAAAATATATTGCTTTCAGGAAAGGGTTCTTAAGGAGAAGGATCACCGCTAGCACATTCCTTTCTCCACCACCAGAATGTCCCCAGAGTGGAGCTAGTTGTGGAGCATTGTGGAGGCTAGAATATAGGGGACAGCTGCCTACAAAATGTCACATATATTACCTCTGTAAAAAGGCTTCCTTCAGTCATGAGGCTTAGCTTCCTACAGTCAGGAGCCTTTGTTTCCTCCAGTCACAAGCCTTATGGAACTGATGTCAGCTGATGCTGAACAAACAACTGGAACACACCTCTTGGAGGTGGAACTTATAGGCTCAGATCCAACAGCCACTCAAAATGTCCAACGTTCTGAGCCCAGAGGCTGAATATTCAAAGCTAAATGTTCTTAATTTGGGGGTAAAAAAGTAGGCGGGGTCTTATAAACAGGGGCATGTTATAAACAGAAAAATACGGTAGTTGTCTCTTGAGTGCTTCTGGCATTGGAGTGCTCACCACCTCCCAAGGTAACTGGCTCCATTGTTGTACTGCTCTAACAGTTAAGAAGTTTTTCCTAATGTTCAGCCCAAATCTGGCTTCCTGTACGTAACTTGAGCCCATTATTACATTTCCAGTGCTTTGGGATAATAAAGAACAGATCCTGTCCCCCTTCTGTATGACTACCCTTCAAGTATTTGAAAAGTGCTATCATATCTTCCCCCAGTCTTCTTTGCTCAGGCTAAATGTGCCCAGTTCTTTCATATTCCAGATGGTAACTACATTCCCACAACACTAATCACTTCAACAATAGTCACCAACCACCAGAATAGCTTTCAAAAAATACAGGACTAGGAGAGCAGAACAGAAGTGGGCACGACTGAATTCTAAAATTCCCATTAGAACAGACCTTTTCTGCCCATATATATCCTCTAATCTTCACCCTAAAGCTCATGAACATGGCCTGCCTGAATTTTCCTTTCTTCAGTTCCATTTACCTAAGTGATCACAGTACAGTATGTCCATTTGCGATCCACATCATAGTTACTGGTCAGAGAGCACCACAGTTTCCCAGTGATTTCATCTTCTGTTATGCATGTTGAGTAGGTTTTTCTTTTGTAGATGAAAGGAAAGGTGCATGGCCCTTTGGGTTTAGCATCTAATCCTTGAAGGGATGCAAGGAATAAGAAAGAATGAGAAATCTAGCAATGCCTAAGACAAGATCCTGCTCTCAAACAAAGAGGCTGACTACACAGGCATTTAGCCTGCTGTTTGATCCACTGTCAAGATGGGCTGGCTCACACCTAAATATGATGATCAGATGATGTCTTTGCTAGAGAGAACCAGCCTACCCAGCCACCTCCAACCTGTCTACCCACACTTTTCTAGCCCCTGCTGGGGCTTCTGCTTTTTTTGTGTCGGCAGCCAGGATCACTCTCTTTTGGTCCATTCCCATCACATGTGATTGCTAGGAAATGAACCCAAAGCCTTCCTCCATTGAATTGCCAATATCATCAAGTGGCTTAATAAAAGAGCCATTTCAGGATATTAGCTAATTAAACAATTCCTCTCCTCCTGCACAGAGTGGCAGAAGAAGTGAATTTTTCAAAAAAAATGTTTCGTATTGTAGACTTGCAACCAAATAATATTACTCTTGGGGAGAGGCCGAGATGAGAAGATGCCAAGAGAAATTGATCACTCTTTTGAAATTTTAATTTCATGTTATCAGTTAATGGTAGCATTCAGAAAACATCTTATTTTCCTGTTCTATTTGATGGCATTAAAGTCCAGCAGAAACCAATACAGAAGACTGCATGGGCTTGCAACCTATGCAACCATTACTCTTGGAAGAAGCTCCTTCTGCTAATGCAGTAGGTCTCCATGAAAGGCAATGAGCTATTCTGCACTGTAGAAGTTTTCCTCTAGTTCACTGGTTCCCAGCCTTGGGTCCCCAGATGTCCTTGGTCTAAAACTCCCAAAAATTTTCACCAATAGCTGTGATGGCCAAGTATCTGAGACTTGTAGTCCAAGAACATCTGGGGACCCAAGGTTGGGAACCATTTCTCTAAATGGATTTGTGTGTTCGTGGTTCCTAGATTTGGAATCCCAGATATTGTTGGACTAAATTACCCAGAATCTCTGACCTTTGGCCATTCTGGGAGTTGTAGTCCAACAACACATGGAGACCCGAGTTTGGGCTTCAGTTTGCTCAGAACATCTCCGTTCTTGACCAGGTTGGCATGGTAGGTGGGAGGAATGGAACTTCTCATTTCAGGGTGGACTTCTAGACAATTCAGAATTCATTTTGCTCCTATTCCGATATTGAGTCTGGAATATAGTAATGAATTTTGCAAAAATAATGTTACCTTCTTCTTACAGCCATTCATGTAATGGTACAGTGGGGTCTTGACTTAAGAACGACTTGAGCTAAGAACATTTTGACTTAAGAACCGCTCTCATAGGAAAATATTGACTTGACTTAAGTACTTAGATTTGAGTTAAGAACTGAAAAAACCCACGTGGGAGGCAGGGAAAGTGCAAAATTTGAACTTTCGGTTAACTGTTGGCCAGTGAAAAGGGTGCCTGTCTGCTTCCTCAC